CCAGTACTCCAAGGGATCACATTGGCAGTCTCAGGGGACTTGACGAGGTACCCCCCTCACCTTTTCTCTGCCAAATCCTTTGCCATTGCACACCTGGCATGCTGGCCACTGCTAATCTTCCAGTTCATGATTGACAACCAGTAGTAGGGCTTCTCCCTTGTCTGGCTCTTTGAGGCAGAAGTGCTCCACTGCAACTCCCCCTTCCCCTCCTTCTCCCCAGCCTCTTCCACCACTATTCCCTCTGGCCACATCACATGAACACATGAAGTTGTCTTATACCGAATAAGCCCATTGGTCCATCACAGTCAGTACTGTCTACTCAGACTGGCAGCAGCTCTCCAGGATCTCAGGCTGTCTTCCACATCACCTTCTACCTGATCCTTTCTTCTTCTTTTTTAAAATAATATTTATTTATAATTTTTACAATATAATAGTACATGAAACCAATATCATTCAATAATTACAGAATTGAGTCTCATACATTATTATGTCATACATTATCATACAGCCATTTATATACCTTTCTCCATCTTCTCCAATATAGTTCTTCATCTTTTTTCTTGCTTTATAATAGACAATTTGTCCATTTCTGCTATCTCCAGCAGTCTATGCATTACGTCATCTTTTGAAGGTATTCTCTCTGACCCATTGTTTAGCAAATAGTATATGAGCAGCTGTTAGTATATAACTTATTACATATATATCCTCTTTCTTATAGCTTTCAGGCAGTAGATTTAATAAGAAAATTTCTGGTATATGTGGCAGATCTATATTTATTATCTCTAATATTAGATTATGTATCTTATGCCAATATTTCTGAGTTATTCCACATCTCCACCGTGTATGGTAGTATGTGCCTACCTTGTGTTTACATTTCCAACAGGTTTTTGATAAGTTTACATAACATTTAGCTAGTTTGTCTGGTGACCAGTGTCACCTGTGAAACATTTTGTAGAGGTTTTCTTTATACAGGATTGCTCTCATACATTTTGATACTTTCCAGATTATATCTATGTTATGTTCTAAATCTTGCATCCAGGTAATCATTGGTGTTTTTACCACTTCATCTTGTAAATGGTCATTAAGTAGAAAATTATACAATTTCTGAATCAATTCGTCAATTGTAGACAACCAAACCTTATCTATTTCACTTTTTGATCCAATGAAGCCACCTTCTACCTGATACTTTCAACTGGAGATGCCAGGAATTGAACCTGGGACCTTCTGCATGCCATGATGAGACTGCTTCCTCACAGCTGCACCTTCCACTGTCACCTCCAATTTTTAAATGGCATAAAGTAAAAAAAAAAATCTTGTTTGAGATTTTGAGTTGAGATTTGCTACATGGTTGTCGCTGTGTGTCGCTGTATGTCTTCAGTGTCCATGAATTCAGCAAATCTTGCAATCAGTTTTTGTGATTACGTCATGAAAAGCAGACAATATAATTTACCTGATATAGATTTAATGAATGTATATGCAAAGAGGAGACAAACTGCAAGTGAGCTGTGCTTCAATACAAGTTGATCAGTTTAATGACCCAACCATAGCCTTGGGAGATACTGCCTCTTCTCCAGTAAATCAGATGATAGGGGAAAACTATTATGTGGTATCAATATCTACAAATCAAACATATCTATCTCCAACACTGTCTGTCTGTCTGTCTGTCTGTCTAGTGTAGGACAGCCAGTTTGGTGTAGTTGTTAAGTGTGCAGACTCTAATCTGGGAGAACCAGGTTTGATTCCCCATGCCTCCATTTGCAGCTGCTGGATGACCTTGGGCAAGCCACAGTTCTCTCAGAGCTGTTTTTGAAAGAGCAGCTCTTGAATTCTCTGCCCCACCTACCTCACAGGGTGTCTGTTGTGAGGAGGGGAAGGGAAAGGAGTTTGTAAGCTGCTCTGAGACTCTGAGTGAAGGATGGGGAATAAATCCAATTTCTTCTCCTCCTCCTCTAGTTTTATCCAACAATACAAATGCTTTAAGACAATAAAGGAAAAATAGGGAATCAGAAAAATTATATCAACAGCAGAATATATTTTACAGTTCATTTATTATGTAGAATTTGAAGAGACATTTAGTGATATCACTGCTTCTACTAGTTTACAGTATAGATGGTGACCAATTAATGTTTTGTTCCTTGTTAGACTTGCTAAATACTATTACAGCTCATGTGGCCCTGGGCTGGCAACATTTTTGAGTTTAGCTCTTCTGTTTTTATCCCATATTGCAGGCAACAATTATTTATTCCTTAAAATATGCCACAATCCAATTGTTGATGGGTTGATGGAATATTCATTTCACATCTATTCTGGCACATCTGTAATGTCTTCCAGTTTGTTTTTGGACACAGTCCAAAGCATGAATTTCAACTATGTGGCGCCGGTTGAAAATGGCTGAAAGCATAGTAAGGACTGGAGTGCCTTACAGGGCAACAGAAAACAAGGTAGAGACAGTGGACCAAAACAGACAATTCTTAAGAACTGAGAGCAGGGTCGTAAGAACATAAAAACATAAGAGAAGCCAACAGCCCATCCAGGCCAACACTCTGTCACACAGTGGCCAAAAATACCAGGTGCCACCAGGAGGTCCACCAGTGGGGCCAGGACACTAGAAGCTCTCCCACTGTTGCCCCCCCAAGCACTGAGAATACAGAGCATCACTTGCCCCAGAGTTCCTATCTATACCTTGTGGCTAATGCCACTGATGGACCTCTGCTCCATATGTTTATCTAATTCCCTCTTGAAGCTTTCCATGCTTGTAGCCACCACCACCTCCTGTGGCAGTGAATTCCATGTGTTAATCACTCTTTGGGTGAAGAAGTACTTCCTTTTATTCATTCTAAACCGACCACTCAGCAATTTCATTGAATGCCCATGAGTTCTTGTATTGTGAGAAAGGGAGAAAAATACTTCTTTCTCTACCTGCTCTATCCCATGCATAATCTTATAAACCTCGATCATGTCACCCCTCAGCTGTTGTTTCTCCAAGCTAAAGAGCCCCAAGCACTTTAACCTTTCTTTATAGAAAAAGTATTCCAATCCTTTTATCATTCTAGTTGCCCTTTTCTGCACTTTTCCCAATGCTATAATATCCTTTTTGAGGTGTGGTGACCAGAACTGTACATAGTATTCCCAACCTAGCTTGGAGAAACGACGACTGAGGGGAGACATGATTGAGATACAAGGTATAGATAGGGGCTCTGGGCCAAGTGATGCTCTGTCTTCTTGGTGCTTGGGGGGGTCAACAGTGGGAGGGCTTCTAATGTCCTGGCCCCACTGGTGGACCTCCTGATGGCACCTGGTCTTTCTGGCCACTGTGTGACACAGAGTGTTGGACTGGATGGGCTTTTGGCCTGATCCAACATTGGCGTCTCTTATGTTCTTATACCACACGAAGTTGCACCATTGATTTATACAGGGGCATTATGATACTGGTTGATTTGTTTTCAGTTCTCTTCCTAATAATCCCCAGCATAGTGTTGACCCTTTTTGGGCCAAAAGTGGGCAGAGATAGCTAATTGGTCTCAAACCTAAATCCCGGCCACTCAGTAATTCATGATCACTATGATCATGGAGGTGCTAGACCACATACTCAGGCTACATTGGGCCTTTGAGCTTCTTCCCTACCAACCAAAGGTGCAGTATTTTTTTTTTCTGATTGTGGTTGCTTGCATGGATGCAAAGCTCAGCATGGAGGCGGGATATGGAAACTGACTGAATGAAAGTCTTCTCTGACAGAAAAATACTATAGTGGTTACAGATCTAACAATAGTTGAATAGGTTGGGGAAAACAGAAGTCCTAGATGATATTATGTCTCTGTTGAGCTTTCCCCCCTACCTAAACTCTTCCGTCCCCAGGCACAGCCTCCAAATCTCCAGGAATTTCCCAAACTAGAACTGGCAACCTGAGGTTACATATCAATTAGCCAGATTTGGTTGGCTTGCTTCAAGAAGTAGAAAATCCTTATTAGCAAGGTTCCATGTTTCCCCTCTTGGAATGTAATTGCCTCACCCCCTGGTGTTATAGCTTCCTATGCCTGACCATTTGGGCTCAATTGCCGTCATAAACCTTCTCTGGTAGAAGACCAGAGGCATAGCTGACATGCTACTACACACGTAGCAGGGATCATCTTACTGCAGGAGGATGGTCCCCTGACCCAACCTTTCCCCACCCTGTTGCCATGACAAACACCAAATTTGGAAAGTACCTATCTCATTGTATTGGCTGGTGGCCAAAGCTAATTCTAATGAGATTGGGGGTTAAATTGACTAGCACAGAGAGACGAGCTCAGATTTTCTGCTTGCTGTTCTGTTCTTGTTACCTGCTGTCTGTGGACTTATTCTGGGAATGCTTTGTCTCAGCCATGTGCTCTGGGACAAAGGACCGGGTTGTGCAGCTCAACACATGGCTGCATGCTAGCAAAGATGGACCTCTTGTTTCTAAAGATACTTGGACTATTCCAAGGGACTTGGTACTGGAACTCTGTGCCTGTGGATCACCCTGGTAATTATGCATATCTCTAATGTCTAGGTAGGGCCAGAGAGTCCTAGGTTTTTCTTGTTTTCAGTACTTTCTGTAGTCTGTGTTAAGTTCTGTGAGAAATAAAACTATTTCTTGTTTAAATACTGTCTGTTTGATGGGTAACTGATCTCCAAGCCTTAAATCCTCGTGTCTAGCTGGCTGTGCTACCATTGAATCTTAAGAGTACATCTCTAAGGAGGTGTTGGAGCTGGGCATGGTGGTTATTGTTTGTTAATATAGGAGTCCTTCCCTCATTCCTAGTGAGGCGTGGGGGGCGGATCCTATACACAGACAATGCATTTTCTATTTCCATTAAATCTTCTATCCATAGTTCTGCTTCAACTAACTACATGAAAATTGATAATGAGCAATAAGGACTAAAACAGACATAATTTATAGAAGGGATAAGAAACTCTACAGATACTGTAAACTTAAGGAAATGTTTTAAGCATTTCCACATTTAATATGGAATATATGCAATTTATACCTCTTGCTAAGTAAGACATTATTTGTACTGCTCCATCAACCTAAACATATCTGGGTATAAGTACTCTGGAGCATCAAGGCCTGTAACAAAGTCTGTATGTTGCCAACTGGGATTATTCTTATAGAAAATTAAGTGAGTGAGTTGAGGGAGCAGCAGTTCAATATCTTTCAAATCTGTAATAATATCTTTTCCGGCACTCCACACAGCTGTTGGCACAGTCACATCTTCCACTTTATAAAACGGAGGAGTGGTCTGAAGATTAAAAGATCAGAAAAATGAAAATGAGCATTGCTGATCAATTCATTATATATATTGTTTTTTCTCCAAATATATATACATTTGGAGAAAAAACAACAACAGTTCATCTTCTAGCATCTTAAGATGTCTTGGATGCGGGACACCTTTTCTTGGAAAATTATTGTTTGACATTTTGTTCCACCCATTTCTCCTTCAATATTTGAATCTCCTCCAGGTCAGTAATAAGCAGAAAAATAAGGATTCAGTCAGCTGAGGGTGTTCCTGAGTTATATTGTATAATTCTACTAGTTACTTCAGGATGGCCAACTCTGTACCAGAGCAGTGGCATCAGAGGAGAGAACAATGACTGAAAGAGGACTATATACAATGATAATCCAACAAATAATGATGTGCCAAGTCTAAAACGCTTAAAGCAAAACAAGGGAAGGTGGAAAATACTTCATAATTGCACGATTCACAGGTAGTAATTGGGTGTCTTTATCACGCATCCCAGACAACAAAGATCAATTCCAGTCATTACGTCCAGGCTTACTCATCACTGTCAGTGTTTCTTTTTCTTTTGTTTTCTGATTGCTTGTGTATAATGTGCTCCAGTTCCGATGTCTTTCAGATCCTGGAACACTCTCCTGCTTCAAATAATTAATGATTGTATGCCACTGCGTATGGAATAGCCAGGAGATCCCAGAAGGAATTGTTTGGCTGCCAAAGCTGTAACTCTTTTTTGGCACCACTAGGTGGTGAGCTATGATTATATTTAGCCTTAGAGTGACTTGCCTAAGGTCACCCAACTAGCTTCAAGTCGGGAAGTGGGAAATCAAACCCAGTTTTTCAGATAAGAGTCCACTGCTCTTAACCACTACACCAAACTGGCTTTCCCTGCTTCAGGAAAGTAAGTGTAGGCCCTTGTCTGAAGGAACCCCCATCTGAGGGAACCCAGACCCTTGCACCAATTGAAGAAGGCTTCTTTAGGCGATACTGCCTGTGCCAGGCTCATTTATTGCCGAACTGTTTTTTCAGGTGTGTTTTAAATGTATCCAGGCAGAAATGTACTCTCTATCCTTGGAAGTTTGTTGACTCAACACCAGTTCCAGCATACACATGTTTACAACAGTGCCTGCTGTCCTTGCTGCAGAGATGCTGATGCCTTCTGCTGGTGCCGGTTCACTACAGCTGAGCAGCCAAAATGTTTTGAAACTCTGCACCTGAAAAGCTGATAGAAGAAGAAAAAGAGAAGAGATTCTATTTATACCCCACCCTTCACTACCTGAAGGAGTCTCAGAGTGGCTTACAATCCTTTTTCCTTTCCCTCCCTCATAACAGACACCCTGTGAGGTAGCTGGGGCTGAGAGAGCTCTTTCGAGAACTGCCCTTGAGAGAACAGCTCTGAAAGAACTTGTAACTGACCCAAGGTCACACCAGCAGCTGCATGTGTAGGAGTGGGGAATCAAATCCAGTTCTCCTATATTAGAGTCCATGCTCCTAACCACTACACCAAACTGGCTCTTATAGCTTATGTTTATATTTGACGTTCTTTAACACTTGAATTTTCTTGAATTCCTGATGTCCCCAAGGACCTAACCCCCTGAGGACCCCTTTTTCTGTAACATGTACTCTTCAAAATAGGCCTAGAAATGATAGATGGTACCTGAATTAAACTAATATCAAAGAGCAGTGAGTCACACTAAGGCAGAAAGCAGGGCAGCTCCTCTATCAATCATGCAAATACCCACACTAAGAGGGATTCAGTTGAGGGCCATTTCTTCCAAGGAACTCAGAGCTTCTTTCCAGATTATTTGATCCTAACTAAAGACCCAGATTTCCAAAGCAATAAACAATGGGCTGATTCCAGCAATTTACTCCATGTTTCAATGATCAGACAGGAAGATTCCTGCCCTTCCCTGATCATGACAAGTATTCTGTTATATCCAGCTTCCAATTCTCCCCAAGGGAACACTTTACACATTCTCTATGCCAAAGGAGAAGACTCCCTTCTACCAAACAATGGATTTCTTTTCAGGCTGGCTTATCTTTGAAAGACTGCATTTTTATCACTCCCACATTCCATTGCCAGCACCCCATGCCTTTCTTCTCAGCAAATGGATATAGTTACCTCTGAGCCCAATTATTTAGCCAGTTTAGAATACATCCTGTTACTTCAGCCTTTTGGCTGGCCTCTCACTTTTCTACTTCATGGACCTGTTTCTGTGTCTCTTTCTGCCACCTGATCAGTTTCCTCACCTGATGCTTCTTTGTTGCAGCTGGGGGGAAAACACCTCTTCTCTCCAGGAGAGGGCTCACATGTCTTGTCCCCCCCCTTTCATTTTATTCCCCAGGTAGGTAGGTGTTTTTTCTAGAGAAAGGTTTTGTGTTGTTAGTTGCTGTAAATTTTCTGGGATGTGTGGCCGTGGTCTTAGCATTGTAGAACCTGATGTTTTGCCAGTAACTGTGACTGGCATCCTCTGCCAGTCACAGTTACTGGTGAAACGTCAGGTTCTACAATGTCAAGACCACGGCCACACATCCCGGAAAATCTACAGCAACTAATGAACTCCGGCCATGAAAGCCTTCGACAACATGTTTTGTGTTGTATCTGTCACTGTCATTTTCTTTTCAGAAGAACTGAGTAGTGACTCATGAAAGCTCATACGCTACCACAAATTTTGTAAGCTTTTAAGGTGCTACTGGACTCTCGCTGATTTTCTTTTCTGTAATTCCCTTTTAGGTCTGCAAACTGTTTAACTCAATTTGGTCTCCTTTCTGTTTATTAAAATAAAAGTTTCTGCTTAAGAAGCTTATTCCCACTTGTTCTTTTGAGTGTTGGTCTGAATCTGGACCTTGGTTCACACAGGCTAGGTCCCAAGTATTGAAGTACCCAAAATGCATGTGTTTGCTCGGTGCTAGCAAGGTGTCCTTTTGCATGTTGTGGGTTCTTCACGGGTATGATAATTTGGGCAACATTATCTCAGATAATTAATATTGACTCCAGATACCACATTTTAAGAAGGAGTATGACAAAAGAGAAAGGAGTCTAAATATAGCAATGAGATCCATAATCATGATTAAAGAAAAAGGTAAAAGGAACTAATACAGTGAAAAGAGTATTAAGGATGCAGGAATATGACCATTTTACAAAAGAATGGGAGAAATACCTGAAAGTGAACAAAGAAGAAGCAAAGATCAGGATATTAGGCAGGAAGGTGATGGATAGGAATGCATGCACTTAGAAAAAAATCATTAACAAAGTACGTGTTTCTGTGATGTACTCACAGTCATTCATAGTTCCCAAGGAATTGTACAAAAAACCAAAAGTTACTGCAGTGCTCTTACTGCATTTTTAACAAGCAAGCAAGACCACTTGTAACATGATTCACACATTTTTTTCAAAGTTCTCATCACTTTGCTTACCATATTATATACAGCTTTGTTCTCACTGTCATAGTCAAAATATTTAAATTCTCTGGATTTGGCCACCTAAAAGGAAGAGGAGAAAGTATAGTAGTATGAAATCTGGTAAATGCTCAAAACTTTGGAAGACTGATAGTTAAGGTTGCCAACTTCAGGTTGGGAAATTTCTGGTGATCTGGGGGTGGAGCCTCAGGAGGCCAGGGGAAGGGAAGGGGGGACCTGAGTGGGGTATAATACTGTAGAATCTACCCTCCAATACAGCAATTTTCTCCAGTGGAACTGATCTCTGTAGGCTGGAGATAAATTGTAATTCTGGGAGATCTCCAGGATCCACATGAAGGTTGACATCCCTATATAATATTCATAGAATAGCAACTACAAAATACAAAAAAAAAATTCCTGTAACATCTCTGAAACCTCAAGTTAAAATACTCAAGTTAAAGTATTTAAAGTAACAAGAATTTTTTTTACCTATAATCCTAGATTTTGAAAAGATCTAATCTGAGACCTTTGATACTTGAAGTTCAAAAATCCTGAACATAGATCTTTCTTCTTCAGTACTCACAGGGGGGATAATAGCATATTCAGTAAAACTCTATTTACCCTCAGCTGATCCCACTACCACTTGGTTATGTTTCCTGCTGCCTCAGTGACTGTTTTTGAAAATGTGATAATACTTAGCCTTCCTGTGCTTCATATAGTTAGTGGGCATCTAGCTCTTTTCTAGGATGGTCCATACCATTCAATAACTGTATGTGAAAACTGGGAGTGTTCTATGAAATCTAACAAGCCATCTTTAACATGCCTGGCCATTCCTGATAATGTGAGAACCCCTGATGCCTCATGTACAGTCCAAAAGTAGTCTTCTCTACTCCATCCCCTGGCTTGCAGTATCTTCATGCTCATTGTGGTAGGGGGCAGATCTGTTTGTAATTGTGAGATGCGGGAGAACTGTACATTTGAAATGCAGCATGCCAACTAAAAATGCAGATATGTGAATTATTGAAGTCTTTCCCCCTACAAAATTCATTACAGTGCTTTTTGGAATATAGCACCACCTAGACAATTATTACAAAAAATTAAGGAAAATATGTTTGAGTTTTGAAAACTACTTTTCAGCAGATGAAATAAAAATTGTGGCATCAAACCACAAACATTCATACACACTGGCCTGGATCACGTGGGGCATTTGCAATGGCAGAAGGATTTCTGTTGTTGGAGCACGACTTTTCCCACTGCAGACCACAATGCCTCCCCAGTGTTGGTCCTGGAGCACTGTGGACTCCTAAGAGCAGCATTTCATGGGACATTTTGGACTGCAGAAAGCGGAGGGAGGCAAGGAAGTTGCACTCAGCTGATGAAAATCACTTCCATTCATGGAAATGCTCTGCAGCATTGAACCCATAGACAGACACTGAATATTCCATCATGTTGAAAATGTTGATGGTTGCATTTTAACTGGTAAAAAGAATTAGTTAACTGTACCTGGCCCCAGTGAACTATTGTTTTTACTGAAGTATAATCAGGAAACATTCCAGCATAGACATCTATTCGACTCTGGGAAAGAAAAGTAGGAATGGAAGTAGATAACTCATTGAAAACGTTGAGACAGTGTGTGACTGCAATAAAAAAGGCCAGTGCTATGCTGGGGATTATTAGGAAGGGTATTGAAAACAAATCAGCCAATATCATAATGCCCCTATATAAATCAATGGTGTAACCTCATTTGGAATACTGTGTGCAGTTCTGGTCACCACCCCTTGAAAAGGATATTATAGCTTTAGAAAAAGTGCAGGAAAGGGCAACTCTAATAATAATAATAATAATAATAATAATAATAATAATAATAATAATAATAATAATAATAATAATAATAATAATAATAATAATAATATACTTTATTGTCATTGTACATAGTACAACGAAATTAAAGATGCAATCATTTCGGTTGTTTATAAGATTATGCATGGGATAGAGCAGGTAGAGAAAGAAGTACTTTTCTCCCTTTCTCACAATACAAGAACTCATGGCCACTCAATGAAATTGCTGAGTGGTCGGGTTAGAATGGATAAAAGGAAGTACTTCTTCACCCAAAGAGTGATTAACACATGGAATTCACTGCCACAGGAGGTGGTGGCGGCTACAAGCATATGGAGCAGAGGTCCATCAGTGGCTATTAGCCACAAAGTATAGATAGGGGCTCTGGGCCAAGTGATGCTCTGTCTTCTTCGTGCTTGGGGGGGTCAACAGTGGGAGGGCTTCTAATGTCCTGGCCCCACTGGTGGACCTCCTGATGGCACTGGTATTTCTGGCCACTGTGTCACACAGAGTGTTGGACTGGATGGGCCTTTGGCCTGATCCAACATTGGCGTCTCTTATGTTCTTATGTTCTTAATTGTGTTTAGATTCTGTCTTTTTGACAGAAGGTGGAAATTAATGGAATAATAAGCTTGGGGTACACACCAACAGCTGGTATCACTGAAGACATACAAATCTCTGAATCCAGCAATGGATATCTACTTGTGGAAGCATGCTGATGTGGATACAGATGCATATACAGTAGGATATCCCCCCATTCTTATGGTGATGCTCCTATCAGCCCCATTGCAATGGTAACTTACATTTATTTTCTTACAGCTCAAATAACAAACCTCCTTCCAGAGAGGCTACCTCAGTCAGGGTACTTCTTTGCACAGGTGTGTTTGAGACAAGTGGCATAACAATCCTACGCAGTTTGCAGGTGTTGGTGACTTCATCCCCACCTGTCCCCCCCTCCAGTCCATTCAAATGTTTCACGGATAAGCTCTTGTGATCGTGGAACTGGTGGGAATTGTAAACTCTTATGTAGTTAAAGTCATATGTTACATCTAATTGCCATGTGAACAGCAGCCACACATCACTGGATACTGTGCTCCCGTTGTGGAATAGCAGTCATTTGCAACTGGGTTGGATTGTCTGTATGCAACAATCAATTTGTGAATGAGTGCTACAGCGCAACAAAACTACTATGCCCAGCAATGTGTAGGTGCTACCATTTATCATTACTGGAATTCACATGGTGATCGTAATAGAGCTGAAAGGAATGTTTCTTTCAAATCTCACACGTCTCTCTTTGCTTTCATTTTGCCTTGAGCCATGAGGAATGACAGGGTGCAAATGTTTTCATAAATAAATAAATAAGTTAAAAATATACAAAATGATTCCACCTACCAAATTTAAATTCTTCTTGTTATCTCCAAAACCCATGGCAAAGATTTCAGCACATATCTTGTCTATTATTGCATAGCTGCAGAGCTCAGCATTCAGAATCTTCATCTTCCTAGGAAGAGGACAAAACTCCTTCCTGCCCCATATAGACTGTAAAATAAGAATGCGTGATGTTCCTCTCTTTAAATACTCATCAAAATGTGTTTATTAGCAAGGGATCTCTTCCTGTTACACTGATGTCATTATACTTGATGGGTGAGTCCAAGGCTGCACTAAACTCTGTGATTCCCAGCATCCTCATACCAATGCTTTCTACTCTCTCCTGCCTCTTGTAAGTAAAATGAAAGAGGTATTGGTAGAAGAGAAAATCCAGGTCTATTCAGGATCCATTGATCCTATCAGATCCTTTGTGCATGATGGTGATATCATCTGGTGCATGGAGGGCTACTGATAAGTGTATTAATTTCGGGGTGACCAAGTGCCATCTTCTGAATCATTCTTATTTTTTTTCCAGATGAATCACAAGTACAATAATTGGGCTTGGTCTCTTGAATAAAGGAGAAAAATTAGAATGAGGGGGGGTTACCTACCCTTTTGAAAGCATCCGGAAGAAATAGAATTAACATAGAAGGGTTCCAAGTGCCCGCCATTGTGTAGGTGGGAGCAAAGAGCATTAAGAGCTTGACTTTTTGAGCAAACTCTGGCAGGAGTGAAAAGGCAATCAGACCTGCAAAAGAGAAAGGATTTGAGAGGTGGGGTTTTTTGTTTTTGTTTTTTAATTCCAACGGCCACTCTGCAAAATCTAAGGCAGTTAATGGGGACCACTATTTGGACACATCTTCACTGCGTTCCGTGAGCCTTGGTGTTTAGTCATGACCACGGAAATGTCTTCAGATAGCGCTGGCTCTTTGGCTTTGAAACGGAGATGAGCACCGCAACCCTAGAGTCAGATTCGACTGGCTTTCGAGCAAGGGAACCTTTACCTTTACCTTAGATCTACTTATACTTGCTGTTTCAGTTCTTAATTAGTATGAAACAAGCAGCTGTTCTCTTAGTTAAGACGTTTTTATAAGATCAACTGCAGGTCTGACAGGAGAACACATCAAAGAAATATTAGAATAATGAGTTCATCTAGCTGTAGTTGTTATTTGTCATTAAATCATAATGTCTGTTCTTACAAATTTATCAGGAAGTATTAAAAGATGAAGCCCTTCTTTTGCCCTGTCCTGTATGAGAAAGGAGCGACTGGGACTAAAAGCTGGCAGCTTTCCTGTTCGGCCAGCGCACCACCCTTCACTCCACCATCAGTCACAGCTCGGCTGAACTGCTCACGGGCCGCCACCTGACAACCCATTTGGACTGCCTCCATACAGACTGGGCACCAGACCACAGCGCTTGCCCAGAAGACCAGGGGGCCCTGAGGGGTTTCTTTCCTGATGACTCGGTCGACACCCATAATTACAGCCAGGGTCCCACCTGGGTTCCAGCAAGAGTGGTTTGGGTGACCGGCCCACTGTCCTATGAAGTTGCCTGTGAGGACGGACAGCTATGGAGGTGACACATAGATCAACTCGGCCACCGCATCCTGCCTCTGGCCTCAGACAGCCCAGACAAGAATGACATCTACCCCGGGGAACTGGAAGCAATGGACCCTCCAATTCCCAGGGGAGAGGACGGAGGTAACCCCAAACCGACAAGCTGCCCAAAGCCCAGCAGCTCGACAGCCCCGGCTGCGATACCAACAGCTACAATCCCGCCCCCAGAACTAATGGGAACAGTGCCAGGGAGCCCCGCTCCAGCTCCGGTCGTCTGCCGCTCCACAAGGGAGCATAAACGGCCCACATACTTAAAGGACTATGTATGTTTGGATCATCTGGACCAAGGGGGGAGGAGTGTTGTGTACCCCGGGAAGTCCACGCATGCAGTCGGGTCAATACGTGGTCAGCAGTGTTCTCTCTAAGATGAGTTAGTGTGAGCTAGCTCACTGTTTTTTAGCCTCCAGCTCACACATTTTTGTCTTAGCACAGGAAGGGACGGCTCCAGATCAAACGAATTTATGCAGCAGCCAAATGGCTTGCTCACAACTTTCATGCCAGTAGCTCACAAAGGAGAATTTTTGCTCACAAGACTCCACGGCTTAGACCATGTGGCCCTCCTACTTGTAGATATGAAAAGGCCTGCTGAAAGAGTACATACAGGCTAACTATTAATTTTGGGTTTTGGCTCCTTAATCTCTATCTTGATCGCTTCCTATTTTAGCCTGCGCGAAGTACTAGTCCTTGGAAAATTCCCTTTTAGATTCATCCTACATCAGTCCTTTCAAACTGCAATTCTTACCCAGTATTTCAGGGTGGAGTTTTGGGAGGGGAAGGTATAATGCCACGAAGGATATAATGCCATGGAATCCACCTTCCAAAGCACCATTTGCTCTAGGGAAACTGTCACCTGGAGAGAAGCTGTATTTATGGGAGATTTCCAGGCCCTAACTGGAGGTTGGTAACTGTGCACTGTCCTATGTTTAACGTGTCCTAGGCTTGCCATCTCTTTTTTTAGTATAAGGTGTGTTTTCTTTTTAATAGTTTTATAAATGGCAGGGTTTAACATGTTAGGATAGGGGTGTCAAACATAAGGCTCAAGGGCTGGAACTGGCCCATCCAGGGCTCTTACCCAGCCCGCAAGTAACTGGCATGTATAGAAATGTAAGGTTACCCCCTTTTATGGTATCCCTTGGGAAAAAACCTAGTCTTGCATACAATTAAGTACATTTATTAGGGCTTTTGTGGGTTTCCCAGTAAATCAATTGCTTTCACTGCTAGGAATCAAGTGCTTTTGTTTGTATTTTAAGTAAAAAATAATATTGTTAATTGGGTTTGTCTGTGTTCTTTATAAAGTTTATATCTCCAGTACCTGGCATTACATTTTATGGCACACATGGCCCAGCCCAGCAAAGTGACATTTATGTCAGATCCGGTCCTCGTAACAAATGAGTTTGACACCTCTGTGTTAGGATGTCAAGCAACTATCAATGGAAGTAATTTTGTTTCCCCCATTTTTCTCCCGCTGCTGTATTGAGCAGATTTGAGAAGGCCTGCTGTAAAGTTACATACAGGCTTATTATTAACTAGCAGTAAAGTCCGTTGTGAAAGCAATACAACGGAATCTAGAAAGAGGCTCTGGGGGAGTGCTCTGGCTTTGGGCAAACAGTGTCAATTTGCTGTGGTGACCTCAGCAGGGTATAATGACAGAGTCCACTGTTTTCTCCAGAGGAACTGATCTCTGCTACCTGAAGAGCAGTTGTAATTGTGAGTAATCTGTAGCCCTCACCTGGAGATTGGCAACAATTGTTACCCAGGACAAAATGGCTGGTTTGGAGGGTGGAATCTATGGCATTCTACCTGTCTGAGGTCCCACCCCTCTGCAAACACCACCCTCTCCAGGCTCCACCCCTCAAATCCCCAGGAATTTGTCAGCATGTAGTTGGCAACCCCATCTCCTTCCCAGCTAGCCACCAACCTACCATTATCTGCCCCTTTGACTTCAGCTGACTTCTGCCCTCCCTTCTGCAGAGCAGTTGTAATACTGAGTGCTCTCCAGCCCTCACCTGGAGATTGGCAACAATGGTTCCCTATGTGAGACTGACTGGTTTGGAGGGTGGAGTCTATGGCAGTGTACCTGTCTGAGGTCCCACCCCTCCTCAAACCTCACCCTCTTCAGGCTCCATCCCTCAAGTCTCCAGGAATTTCCCATCTGGAGTTGGCAACCCTATCAGGATTGGCCCCAATGTGTTTTCTCCCAAAGGCCAAAGTAGGTGACAGGACCAAGCTTAGTTGCCTACCAACAGGCACTGAGGGGAATGTAGGGTTGCCAGCTCTAAGGAGGGAAATACCTGGAGGTTTGGGGGGTGGATTCTGTAGAGGGCCGGGCGACGGAGGCATCGGCCTTCTGTCGCCCGCCTTGCCCCCCCAATCTCGGCCCGGGCACCCGCGGCTCCCACCAGCGGCCGCCCGACTCCAGACTCCCCCGCGGCCACTCCAGCCAGGCGACGGAGGCATCGGC